TTCTCTTCAAAATAGTACTGAAATTCTAGACAGAGCAAGTGTACAAAAAGAAGGAGGAAAAGAAGGAGAAGCAGAAGAAGGAAAGAAAGAAAGAAAAGATATCCAAATCAGAAGGAAGAAGTAAAATTACCTGTTTGCACATGACATGATCTTATATGTAAAAAAACCCAAAAACTCCACAAAGAAAATGTTAGAAATAATAAATAATCCAGTAAAGTTGCAGAATATAAAATCAACATGTAAACTCAGTGGTTTTTCTATACACAAGAACAAACTACACAAAAAAGAAATTGAGAAAACAATCCCATTTACAAGAACAACAAAAATAATAAAATACTTAGGAATAAACTTAACCAAATAGGTGAAAGACATATATTCTGAAAACTATAAAACAGTAATGAATAAATTAAACGCAGATAAATGGAGACCTTCTGTGTTCATAGGAAAAATTAATATAGTTAAAATGTACATGCTATCAACTCAAATTCAACAACATATTAAAAGAATTATATACCATGACCATGTGGGATTTATCCCTGGGATGCAAGGATGGTTCAACATATGCATTCAATAAATGCGATACACCACATTCACAGAATGAAAGAATAAAAATCACATAATCATCTCAATATATACAGAAAAGAAAAAACATCTGGCAAAATATAACAGCCTTTCTTGATAAAACCTTCAACAAATTGGGTATAGAAGGAACATGCCTCAACATAAGAAAGGCCATATACCACAAAGACATAACTATCATCCTACTCAACAGTGAAAGATCAAAAGCTTTTTTCTAAGATCAGAAAAAAGACAAGGGTGCAACTCTCACAACTATTTTTCAACATAGTACTGGAAGTCCTAGTTAGATATAGTCAAGACAAATCAGAAAGGACACAGTAAAATTTTTATTATTTGCAGGTGATGTGATCTTATATGCAGAAAATCCAAAAAGCTGTTGGAAATAATCAATGAATTAAATAAAGTTTCAGGATATAAAATCAACATACAGAAATCAGTGGCATTTCTGTATACCAATAAAACTTCTGCAAAAGAAGTAAACTATCCCACTCACAATAGCATCAAAAATACAAAATATAAATAATTAAATATTTCAGTCAAGTAATTGAAATATCTATTGTGAAAACTGCAAGATTTTTATGAAAGAAATTGAAGAAGATACAAACAAATGGAAAGATATCCCATGTTCATAGATTGGAGCAATTAATCTTAACATGCCTGTACTATCCAAAGCCATATAATCCAAACCCAATGTAATCCCTATCAAAACTCCAGTGGCATTCTTCACAGAAATAAAGCAATCCTAAAATTTGTATTGAACCACAAAAGACCCTGAATTGCCAAAGCAAACCTGATAATAAAGAACAAAGGTAGAGGCATCACAGGTCTTGATTTCAAACTATACTACAAAGATATAGTAATCAAAACAGCATAATGTTAGCATAAAAATAGACATACTAATGGAACAGAAAAGAGAGCTCAGAAATAAATGCCATCACAGTCAATATATATTTGACAAAGGAGCCAAGAAAACTCAATAGGGAAAATAGGGAAACTCAATAGGGAAAACTCAATAGGGAAAAATAGTCTCTTTAATAAATAGTGCTTGGAAAACCAGATAACCACATGCAGAAATTGCACAAATAACCCAATTTTAAAAATGGGAAAAGGACCTAAATAGACATTTCTCAAAGGAAGACATAAAACTGACCAACAGGTGCATGAAAAGGTGCTCAACATCACTAATCATCAAGGAAATGAAAATCAAAGCCACAATGAGATATCACCTTACACCTGTTATAATGGTTATTATCAAAAAGAAAAGATAAATGTTGGAGAAGATGTGGTGGAAAGGTGATCCTTGTACACTGTTGGTGGACATGTAAATTGGTACAGCCATTATGAAAACAGTATGGAGCTACCCTTCCCCCCAAAATTAAAAACAGAACTAACTACCATATGATTCAGCAATACCATTTCTGTGTAGTCATCTAAAGAAATGAGAACAGGATATTGAAGAGATATCTACATTTCCATGTTTATTGCATCATTATTCACAATAACCAAGATATGGAAACAACCTACTTGTTTATCCATGGATAAATGGAGATAGAAGATATGATATACATACAAACAATGGGATATTATTCAGTCTGAAAGAGAAGGAAATCCTGCCATTTGTGACAACACAAATGAACCTGGAGGACATTATGCTAAGTGAAATAAGCCTAACATACAAAGACAAATATTGTATGATCTCACTTATATGTGTAATCTAAAATAGTCAAACTCATTGAAGAATAGAGTAGAATATTGGCGACAAGGGGTCAGGTGTGGGGAAAATGGAGAGATATCAGTCAAAGGGTACAAAGTTTCCAGTATGCAAGACGAGTAAGCCTTAGAGATCTAATGTGTAGCATGGTGACTATAGTCAGCAACACTGTGTTGTATACTTGAACTTTGCTAGGAGAATACATATTAAGTGTTCTCACCACAAACATACAAAAATCTAACTATGTGATATGAAGGATATGTTAATTAGATTGTGGTGATCATTTCACAATGTATACATATATCAAAATATCAAGATGTATAACTTAAATATATACAAATTTTATTTGTAAATTATACATCAGTAAAGCTGGAACAAAAATAATACTACATCCCAGGTAGAATGACAGAGATTAGTGCTGCCCTCATAAACCTAATTCAGGATTCAGAGGTGGTAGTCCCATCTTATTCTCATTTAATTCATGAGTTTTGTCCTTAAAAGCAAACAACTAGATCCTAAAAGATTGGAGTGAATTACTATAAAGTCAACAAAGAAATAGCCCTAATTATAGCTGCTCTGCTAGAGGTGGTATTTTTTTCTAAAGAAGATTGAAAATGTATTGGGTACATGGTATGTGGCCACTGAGTGGTGAGTGCATTCTTTTCTATCCCTATAGAGATAGATTAGAAATATTACCCATTCATGTGTGATCAACAATATACTTTTATGTTCTTGACTCATTTTTTATCCTTGTTTGTTTTTATTTTTATCCATACTCATTCTTCTTGAATCTGAGAATATTCTTAAGTTTTCCTGACTTCAATCCATGGTGCTAAATAATTTGGTTTTAATTGGTTTCTTTGGCTCTTTTCTCCTCTGAATATCTTGACCACCCTATATCTAAAATTGGCTTTTTTAGCCATAATTCTAGTTGAACCAGACCTGACCCTCATGTGGGGTATCTAGACACCCAGAAAGATATTAAACTTTATTTTTTTGTACCAGCTGATAGTCTTGAAACACACATAGGCAAAGGATTTTCTTCAAGTGAGACTTTCTGATTGTAACAGAATCAACACCTTGATTACCTTAGCATTGTCCTTGAGATAAACAGCATAAGCATACAGTCTTAACTTGATTTAAAAGGCCCTTCATGATCTGTCCTTTGTGTTCCCTTTCTCAAATCACATGTTCCCTCTCCCTTATCTCAAAATAACCCTCCTTCTACATTCAGTCATCCAACTACATTGGCCTTGTCTCAGTAGTCAAACATACCACAAAACACCAGCCAGTGGGCAATATGTTTTGGAAGGCATCCCTCATTAAATTGTTTTAAACACATTTCAAGTTATGTTAACAGTATGATTCTTATTTTTAATAGCTGTATTGTCTTGAATATTTCAGGACACACTGAGGGATATATTTAGATTTAAATATCTGGAAGAGATAAAATGTTACAATAATGATACATTGTTGCTTATTGAGAAATCAAATATTCATTTCTTGCCATTGGGTCCATTGAAGGTATGTGAGTCCCAGCCAGTATAGAGTTTTTGAAGTCTTCACTGAAAACAAAGCAGTGGAAACTCTGAAGTATGAAAGAGGTTATAGACTCATTTTCTTCCATCAGATTTTTATATATCTGTGTTCATGGTAAAGCTAGGCCTTTCAGTATCACATAAAATCCATCATTTCCTATCACTGAGATAAAACAAAAGCAAACAAGATATACTGTAAACTTTAATTCCCAGACTCTTTGATATAAGTATGACTACAATAAAGATTACAATTGCTTCGCTTTTAGCAGATTTCTTTTAGTTTAATGAATAAGTGACTTTAATGTGGCACTTAGGCATCACAAATAATTTAGTCAAATAACAAATATAACAAAGACATGTCTACATATTTAGAATACTATTTTCTGACAGTTATTTATAGTAATAAATCCTTTTATGTAACTGATAAATTCTAGAAAAAAACCATGGTGCCATATAAAGATTAATAGATTTAAGACATCATGAGAAAAACAGGGCCAGAAAAGTCCTTGAACTTTTTAAAATGCCTCCCACCCCACAAAAATGTGCCTTTCTTCTTATTTTATGTAAGTAACAATATATACCTACTATTATTCTTCATTTATCTTTGTTCTGGACAGAATGATGATCACGCATAGAAGTGAGTAAAGAATATAGTATGAAAAGGGAGGGGTTCCCTTCCTGTTGGTTGTTTGGCCTGAGGCAACCCATCACTGGAGCCTACCTGGGCTCTTTGGTGCGGCTAATGATGGACGCTGGGAGGGCTTACGCCAAGGAGTACTTCCCAGAACTTCTGCTGCCAGTGTCCTTGTTCCCACCATGAGCCACAGCCACCCCTGCCTCTGCAGGAGACCCTCCAACACTAGCAGATTTTTCTCTCAAGAAGTAGTGCAGCTTTGAAGACTCCTAGAGATCGTGGCAACATTTTTATCAACTGCATTAACCAACAAGCATTGCTACCTCGAGGAAATAAGAGGCTGCTGAACTCATCCTTGATTCTGTCAAACTATCCTCAATCTGTATAATTGGTCCCTGTGTGGTTGTAGGCAAGAAAAAAAAAAAAAAAGGACTGAACCCCAGAAACATGACAAATGCTTTGAAAATGGCTTTGGACTAAAAAAGTCTCTATGTGTTTCATAATGGAATCATTTTGCTTATGAAAAATGCCTGTGAAGAGGTCATAGAACGCTGCTGCTGGAAGATTCAAAGCTATCTCAATGCGTCTCAGCTTTGCTTGTCTGAGTGGAGTGAAACCAAAGCTGAACCTTCGTATAGTGCCCTGCATGTGAGGCTGGAGAGGCTGATCGCTCACCCACCTCTTCTTTTTCTGATACACCAGAAATACATCTACACGTGGAACTGCTCCTACAGAACACCTACTGAACACTGGCAGAAGACCTCAGACTTCCCAAAAGGCAAGAAAGTCCCCATGTATCTGGGTAGGGCAAAAGAAAAAAATGAAAAAACAGAGACAAAAGAATACGGATGGGACCTGCACCAGTGGGAGGGAGCTGTGAAGGAGGGAAGGTTTCCACACACTAGGAGCCCCTTCACGGGCGGAGACTGTGGGTGGCGGAGGGGGAAAGCTTCGGAGCAGCGGGGGAGAGCCCAGCAACAGGGGTGCAGAGGGCAAAGCAGAAAGATTACCTCACAGAGGATCGGTGCCGACCGGCACTCACCAGCCCGAGAGGCTTGTCTGCTCACCCACCGGGGTGGGCGGGGCTGGGAGCTGAGGCTTAGGCTTCGGTCAGAGTGCAGGCAGAGGACTGGGGTTGGCGGCGTGAACACAGCCTGCAGGGGTTAGTGCGCCACGGCTAGCCTAGCCGGGAGGGAGTCCGGGGAAAAGTCTGGACCTGACAAAGAGGCAAGAGAATTTTTCTTCCCTCTTTGTTTCCTGGTGCCCGAGGAGAGGGGATTAAGAGAGCTGCTTAAAGGAGCTCCAGAGACGGGCACAAGCCGTGGCTAAAAGACGCTAAGGCTGCTGCTGCCGCCACCAAGAAGCCTGTGTGCGAGCACAGGTCACTATCCACACCTTCCTTCCAGGGAGCCTGTGCAGCCCGCCACTGCCAGGGTCCCGGGATCCGGGGACAACTTCCCCGGGAGAACGCACGGCGCACCTCAGGCTGGTGCAACGTCCCGCTGGGCTCTGCCGCTGCAGGCTCGCCCCGCATCAGTACCCCTCCTTCCCCACGGCCTGAGTGAGCCAGAGTCCCCGAAGAAGCTGCTCCTTTAACCCCATCCTGTCTGAGCGAAAAACAGACGCCCTCCAGCGACCTACACGCAGAGGCAGGGCCAAATCCAAAGCTGAGCACAGAGAGCTGTGCGAACAAATAAGAGAAAGAGAAATCTCTCCCAGCAGCCTCAGAAGCAGCAGATTAAAGCTCCACAATCAACTTGATGCACCCTGCATCTGTGGAATACCTGAATAGACAACAAATCATCCCAAATTGAGGAGGTGGACTTTGAGAGCAAGATCTATTATTTTTCCCCCCTTTCCTCTTTTTGTGAGTATGTATGTGTATACTTCTGTGTGAGATTTTGTTTGTATAGCTTTGCTTCCACCATTTGTCCTAGGGTTCTATCTGTCCGATTTTTTGCTTTTGTTTTTGTTTTCTTTTAATTTTTTTTCTAATAAGTTTTTTTATTTTAATAAAGTTATTTTATTTTATCTTTTCTTTCTTTCCTTCCTTCCTTCCTTCTTCCTTTCTTTCTTCCTTTCTTTCTTTCTTTCTTTCTTTCTTTCTTTTTCGTTCTTTCTTTTCTCCCTTTTATTCTGAGTCGTGTGGATGAAAGGCTCTTGGTGCTGCAGCCAGGAGTCAGTGCTGTGCTTCTGAGGTGGGAGAACCAACTTCAGGACACTGGTCCACAAGAGACCTCCCAGCTCCACATAATATCAAGCGTCAAAAACCTCCCAGAGATCTCCATCTCAACACCAGCACCCAGCTTCACTCAACGACCAGCAAGTTACACTGCTGGATACCATATGCCAAACAACTAGAAAGACAGGAACACAACCCCACCCATTAGCAGAGAGGCTGCCTAAAATCATAAAAAGTTCACAGACACCCCAAAACACACCACCAGACATGGACCTGCCCACCAGAAAGACAATATGCAGCCTCATCCACCAGAACACAGGCACTAGTCACCTCCACCAGGAAGCCTACACAACCCACTGAACCAACTTTAGCCACAGGGGACAGACACCAAAAACAACTGGAACTACGAACCTGAAGACTGCAAAAAGGAGACCCCAAACACAGTAAGATAAGCAAAATGAGAAGACAGAAAAACACAAAACAGATGAAGGAGCAAGATAAAAGCCCAACAGACTTGGGCTTCCCCGGTGGTGCAGTGGTTGAGAGTCTGCCTGCCGATGCAGAGGAAACGGGTTCATGCCCCGGTCCAGGAAGATCCCACATGCCGCGGAATGGCTGGGCCCGTGAGCCATGGCCGCTGAGCCTACGCGTCTGGAGCCTATGCTCTGCAATGGGAGAGGCCGCAACAGTGAGAGGCCCATGAACTGCAAAAAAAAAAAAAAAAAACCCCCCAGACCTAACAAATGAAGAGGAAATAGGCAGTCAACCTGAAAAAGAATTCAGAATAATGATAGTAAACAGGACCCAAAATCTTGGAAATAGAATAGAGAAAATGCAAGAAACATTTAGCAAGGACCTAGAAGAACTAAAGATGAAACAAACAATGATGATCAACCCAATAAATGAAATAAAAAATACTCTAGATGGGGTCAATAGCAGAATAACTGAGGCAGAAGAATGGATAAGTGACCTGGAAGATAAAATAGTGGAAATAACTACTGCAGATCAGAATAAAGAAAAAAGAATGAAAAAAACTGAGGACAGTCTCAGAGACCTCTGGGACAACGCTAAACACATCAACATTCGAATTATAGGGGTTCCAGAAGAAGAAGAGGAAAAAAAGGGACTGAAAAAATATTTGAAGAGATTATAGTTGAAAACTTCCCTAATATGGGAAAGGTAATAGTTAATCAAGTCCAGAAAGCACAGAGAGTCCCATACAGGATAAATCCAAGGAGAAATACTCCAAGACACATATTAAGCAAACTGTCAAAAATTAAATACAAAGAGAACATATTAAAAGCAGCAAGGGAAAAACAACAAATAACACACAAGGGAATCCCCATAAGGTTAACAGCTGATCTTTCAGCAGAAACTCTGCAAGCCAGAAGGGGCTGGCAGGACATATTTAAAGTGATGAAAGAGAAAAACCTGCAACCAAGATAACTCTACCCAGCAAGGATCTCACTCAGATTTGATGGAGAAATTAAAACCTTTACAGACAAGCAAAAGCTGAGAGAGTTCAGCACCAACAAACCAGCTTTACAAAAACTGCTAAAGGAACTTCTCTAGGCAGAAAACACAAGAGAAGGAGAAGACCTACAATAACAAACCCAAAACAATTTCAAAAATGGGAATAGGAACATGCATATCGATAATTACCTTAAATGTAAATGGACTAAATGCTCCCACCAAAAGACACAGATTGGCTGAATGGATACAAAAACAAGACCCATATATATGCTGTCTACAAGAGGCCCACTTCAGACCTAAATACACAACAGACTGAAAGTAAAGGGATGGAAAAGGTTATTCCATGCAAATGGAAACCAAAGGAAAGCTGGAGTAGCAATTCTCATATCAGACAAAATAGACTTTAAAATAAAGTCTATTAGAAGAGACAAAGAAGGATGCTACATAATGATCAAGGATGGATCCAAGCAGAAGATATAACAGTTGTAAATATTTTTGCACCCAACATAGGAGCACCTCAATACATAAGGAAAATACTAACAGCCATAAAAGGGGAAATCGGCAGTAACACATTCATTGTAGGGGACTTTAACATCCCACTTTCACCAATGTACAGATCATCCAAAATGAAAATAAATAAGGAAACATAAGCTTTAAATGATACATTAAACAAGATGGACTTAATTGTTATTTATAGGACATTCCATCCAAAAACAACAGAATACACATTTTTCTCAAGTGCTCATGGAACATTCTCCAGGATAGATCATATCTTGGGTCACAAATCAAGCCTTGGTAAATTTAAGAAAATTGAAATTGTATCAAGTATCTTTTCCGTCCACAACACTATGAGACTAGATATCAATTATAGGAA